GTCAGATGTGGGGTTGGTGAATATCTTTTCCCATTCTATGGGCTGGCATTTTGTCTTGCTGACTGTGTCCTTTGCCTTACAGAAGCTTCTCAGTTTCATTTATTAATTGCCAATGTCAATGTTTGTACTACTGGTGTTATGTTCAGAAAGCAGTCTCCTGTACCAATTTCTTCAAGGGTATCACCTACCTTCTCTTCCAGGAGGTTCAGTGTGGTTGAATTTATGTTGAGGTCTTTGATCCATTTTGATTTAAGTTTTGTGCATGGCATAGATATGGATCTATCTGCAATCTTCTACATGTCCGAATCCAGTTATGCCAACACCATCTGTTGAAGATGCTTTCTTTATTCCATTGTATATCTGCCATCTTTGTCAAAAATCAGGTGTTCATAGGTACATGGGTTAGTATCAGGGTTTTCAGTTAGATTCCATAGGTCAACCTGTCTAAATTTGTGCCAATATCAAGCTGTTTGCAAGACTGTGGCTCTATAATAGAGCTTGAAGTCAGGGATGGTGATGCCTCAGGAAGTTCCTTTATTGTAAAGGATTGTTTTGGCTATCCTGAGTTTTTTGTTTTTCAATATTAAGTTGAGTACTGTTCTTTCAAGTTCTGTGAATAATTGCGTTGGGATTTTGAGGGGAAATGCATTGAATCTGTAGATTTCTTTTGGCAAGATTGCCATTTTTACTATGTTGATCCTACCTATCCAAGATCATGGGAGATCTTTCCATTTTCTGGTATATTCTTTAATTTCTTTCTTTAAAGACTCAAAGTTCTTACTATAAAGGTCTTTCTCATTTTTGGTTAGTGTTATCCCAAGATATTTTATGTTGTTTGTGGCTATTGTAAAGGGTGATGTTTCTCTGACTTCTTTCTCATTGCATTTATCATCTGTATATAGTAGGATTACTGATTTTTTTAGTTAATTTTGTATCCTGCTATTTTGCTGAAGGTATTTATCAGCTGTAGAAGTTCCCTGGTAGAATTTTTCAGGTCACTTATGTAAACTGTCATATCCTTTGCAAATAGTGAAATTTTGACTTCTTCCTTTCCAATTTGTATCCCCTTGATCTCCTTTTGTCGTATTATTGCTCTAGCTATAACTTCAAGTACAATATTGAAGACATACGGAAAGAGTGGACAGCCTTGTCTTGTTCCTGATTTTAGAGGAATCACCTTGAATTTTTCTCCATTTATTTTGATGTTGGCTGTTCCTTTGCTGTATATTGCTTTGATCATGTTTAAGTGTTCCTGTTATTCCTGATCTCTCCAAAACCTTTATCATGAAGGCATGTTGAATTTTGTCAAAGGCTTTTTCAGCATCTAGTGAGATGGTCATGTGGTTTTTCCTTTTAGTTTGTTTATATGGTGGATTTACATTGAAGGATTTTCATATGTTGAACCATCCCTGCAATCCTGGGATAAAGCCAACTTGATCATAATGGATGATATATCTGATGTGTATTTGGATTCCATTTGCCAGCATTTTGTTGTATATTTTTGCATTGATGTTCATGAGGAATATTGGTCTGTAATTCTCTTTTTTCATTGTGACTCTATGTGGCTTGGATACCAAGGTAATTGTAGCCTCATAGAAAGAGCTTGGCAATGTCCCTTCTGTAGGTTTGGTGTTTTGATTATTATGTGTCGAGGGGACTTCTTTTTTGTGGTCCAGTCTGTTTGGTGTTCTGCAAGCTTCTTGTACTTTCATAGGCATATCCTTCTGTAGGTTGGGAAGTTTTCTTCTATGATTTTGTTGAATATGTTTTCTGTACTTTGAGCTGAATTTCTTCACCTTTTGCCATACCTATTATTCTTAGGTTTCACAGTGTCCCATATTTCCTGGATATTTTGTGTTAGGTATTTGTTGGACTTGAGATTTTCTTTGGTCAATGACTGTATATCCTCTAATGAGTCTTCAACTGAGATTCTCAACTGAGAATCTCTCTTCCATCTCTTGTACTGTATTGGTTATGCTTACATCAGAGGTTCTGGATCATTTATCTAGTTTTTCTATTTCCAGCATCATCTCATTCTATGTTTTCCTTATTGTTTCTCATTCTGCTTTCAAATGGTTAACTATTTAAATTGTTTCCTTTACTTGTTTGTTTGTTTTTTCTTGGCTTTCTTTAGATTCTTTAAGAGATTTGTTTATTTCTTGAATTTTTTTGTTTTGTCTTTTGCTCCATTTCATTTAATTTTTTGCTTGTTTTTTTTCTTCTATTTCTTTAAGGGATTTTCTTGTTTCCTCTTTAATGGTCTCTATCATCTTCATAAGATAATTTTTATGCTCCATCTCTTCTTCATCCTCTGCATTTGGGCTTTTCAGATCTTGCTGGTATGGAGTCCCTAGATTCTGGTGATGTCATATTAGTCTTTCTGTTATTCAGTTTGTTCCTAATCTGTTGTCTTCCATTCCATTCTTCTAGTGGGTGCAGCTGGGGTCTCTCCCTCTTTTAGGTGGCAAACAGAGGGCAGAGGGCAGAGGGCAGAGGGCAGAGGGCAGAGTGGGGACAAGGGTGATGTGCATCAGGACTCAGGGTGGGACTTCAGGTGTGGTCAGATCCACTCTTGTCAAGGGGGAGGGTAAGGAAAAATCAAGCAGGGGGTTATGGGGAAGGTTGGGGGCAGAGCAGCACCCAGACTCCCTTCAGGCAGCAGGTCGCACTTTTTAATGGGCATGTTGCTTATTTTTTCACTTATCCATCTTAATAAGTGGCTGTAGCTTATCTTTATGTCAGAAATGAACAAAAACAATGATTCCCTTACAATCTTCCTAAGTGACCTTCAAATGTATTCATCTGTCACTGTACTACACTCCATTACATTGACAATATTATAGTGTCTAAATTGGGTGACTAACATTATTGAAAGTTACTGTCATGTATGTATACACACACACACAAACACACACACACACACACACACACACATATATATATATATATATATATATATATATATATATATATTCATATATATATATGAATACATAGAAACTAAAAAACACAAATCCATAGGGTGCAACCTGCATAGTAGACAACAGTCTGCAAACATTAAAAACATTGATATTACCTCCAATGTGAATAGTCCCATTAATTACCCTTGACACAATTATTTCTGCCTGTTCTCCAGTATTAAAGTTTGAGTCTGGGGCATTCCTACAGGTTTAAGTACCTGAACACTTGCCAGGTGGTGGAAATATTTGGGGAGATTATCGAAACTTTGAGCCTACTTTGCAGGTTGCATCTACTTGTAATCTCATCTGGATTATTAGCAAGCTCCTGCTACTCCAAAACAGACCACACTAGCTACCATGCTTGTCTTGCCATTACATGGGTAGAACCCCCTTAAAGTGAGCCCAAATAAACCCATCCTATCTCAAATAAATTGTGTCAAGAGTTCTGTCACACTTTTGCTGAAATCAACTAGCACAGCAGGCCTCTGTGGCTTTCTGAGATATACTGAAGAAGATTTGCTGCCCATAGTAGAAGCCCTTTGTAAACTGGAAACCAGGTCTAGGAACATCTCTTTGTTTAATTCTTCTCATTCTTCCAGAATCTTTGTGAAATTTCCTAAATCTCCTTTAAAGAAGGAATGAAAGGACTCAGGTTGCGCAAAGGAGAAAGAGAAGAGAGGTGCAGGAGGGGTAAATGTTAGCAAGATACATGAAATACTTGAAAGAACATGTCTTGTGAAGCCTACCACCAGGTAAAAAAATACACAACAACAAGTCAAAATGAAAACTCACCTGCATTTTTATATATAATTTTTTAAATAGCAATCAAACACTGGTGACATTATAGTTCTGAATGCTAGCTGCTCAAAATGTAATTCCCTGGGTCCCAAATCAAAGCATCCACAGGCTTCACTCTCCTCAGAAAGCACTAGAGGAATGTTCACCTGCTTGATCCTTGGTGTCTCTTCTTTTTTCATTTTTTATTTGAATTAGAAACAAGATTGATTTACATGACAATCCCAGTTCCCTTCTTCCTCCCGTCCTTCCCTACAACCCCCCAAATAAAACCCTACCTATCACATACCCTTTCTTCTACTCTTCACCTGACTCAACATTTCTGCTCCCTCATGACCTCTGCATCCTTCCACTTCTTATCCTTAAGACCAGCAGTAGACAGTATAGACTTTAACACACTGTCATAGAAACAGTTATAAACATAACTCCATCTCAAACTTTATTCACCCTTGTCATGCAACAGAAGACATCTATCACCTCCTAGGACTAGACACAGGCACATTCAAAGGACAATATTTGATGTACCATCTATTACTTCCCCTTGACCTCATTTTTCCTTGCAAAGGAATTCTGTTTAGTATCCTTGGTTGTTCTCTAAATCTTTACAGTAGCAACTATTTTCTACTGGATTCAGAAGATAAAAATGAACATGTATGGCTCACTTCCCTCTACATTTTCCCTTAGGTTTCTTATGTGCAGATTATGGATTGTAAACTTCCCTAATGATACCTGTGAATGTAGGGAACTGAGATAGAGGATGCCTTTAGGCCTGTAGAAGCGAGAAAAAGTCATCAAGTCCCTTGGATCCAGAGTTACAGCAGGTTATAAGTTGTCTAACATGGCTGTCATGGGTGTTAGGAACTGAATTTGGATCCTCTGCAAGATCAGTAAATCCTCTTAAACACTTAGCAATTTCTCTAGCTCTCATTTAATTTTATGAATTCATTATTTAGAAAGAAATGTAGGTGACTTCTATAGGGGAAAAGGGATAGTAACTATAAAAGTATCCCTAGTAGAAATTTTTTTTTTCACTTTGAAGTTACTTATCACCTAAGCCTATTTTCTAGATCAATTTCCTTGGAGGAGGCTCACTCAAATTTGGAACAGAAACAAATTCTGGCATCATTACTTGGGTTTTACTTTTCTCTTGGCATCTTTGTGATCTGACAGTCGTGATTCAGGCTGTTTGTTCTGATTTCTTAAGAAATATTGCTAATATTTCTTTCCCATTTCTTTCCACAACAGGTCAAAACTCTGTGGAGTTTACTCCTAGAGTAGAAGAATTATCTGATGTTCTTTTCCTCTGGCTGGGCTTCCTGTGAAGATTCCTTTGTAACACATTTTCTCAATTAAAAGAGGAGAGAGAGTGGGAGCTTATGGGCCAGCTGGACTACACTCTACAGAGCTGCTTGGTTTCCTTGGAATTCCCCCAGAGATTTCATCCAGTGGTTCTCTTCTTCCTTCGTGTTTTCAACATTCAGCATTCTTCATCTAATCCATAGAAATGTTATGATACATGTCATTAGATAGTCCAGGTGGCTTCTTGGCTTCTCCAACGCTGTTCTTTTGGTCATTTCTTTGGGTTTCTCAACCAACATCTGTCCACACCACCTTAGATCTTACTATAGGAAGCCATGACATTTTTCAGCATCTTCCTTTGCCTTTGCTCCTATGGTCTCTGAGGTACATCTTTTAAGAAATCTATATTGTGTGTGAATTTGACATCAATACTGTAACATGGCTAGACCTCTGGGAGTTTCTGTCCTTAATCTGTGCTTTCAGTTTTACAACTTCCTGTCATCCTCAAAATAATATCATGATCATTGTTACCCAGAAGTTTCCCAGATATGTTATCAAAAGACCTTACTTCTCCTGGGCCCTTTGCTCCTGATGGACATGTCTCTGCTTTACATTCTCTGTCAGAATTGAAGATGGTATGTGTTGGCTTGGTTTTTGGCTGGCTCTCTGCAATCTCCAGAGCTTTGTGAACCAGCTTTTCTGACATGCCTTTTGGTTGCCGAATAGTCATGACTGTCTTCAACACACTTGCCTTGAACATTTATACCTAATGGATTTTACAAAGTAAAATATCTGAAATGCTTTCCTTGGCTTCTTTCTAGAAAAGAGATGTGCAGTTGCGTAAATCATGCCTTTCGTCCTCTGAAGCATCATCTATCCTCTGGGTGTTATGGTAACTACCATCGTCAAAGCCTACATTGCATAGAGCCTTAAGACTTTCCTGTATTTTAAAGGCAAAAGAGAGGAAGTGAGGTATCTACTTTCCTCTTCTGAAATGTGTTTAGACATCACTGTATGACCATGACTCTGGGAAATGAATTGTCAAATATACAAGAAAATCTTGCATAACCATGTTCATTGATATACCAGTCAAAAGAGTCATAATCTGGAATTATCTTGGGGTCAACAGCAGCAAAGTAGATGAACCAAAATGCTTCACATGTACAACAGAACTTTCTGTATCTATAAAGAAAAATATAGTTGTGACCTTGGCAGGAAAACAAATGAAGTAGGTGGTCAATAAATGAAATAACACTCCAGAAACACAAACACTGAATGTTTTATTTTGTGTAGAAAATCCGGATTTACATTTAGATACATGTTTTGTAAATAAGTACAACATGAAATCACAAAGAAAACTATGAGAAGGGGAGATAGACATAAAGGTAGGGGAGAGGTAAACAAGAGGAGAAAAAGAAATATGTAAAACCTGGATACAGAAAGGAAGACACTTTAGGGGATGGAAGGGAACAAAAAATGGAGGAAAGGAGGAGAAAGGGGAAGGAAATTGGGGTATAGAAACAAGTAAGAACAAAACATAAAAAGGTATATACACATGAAATGCATAGCAAACCCTAGCATTTTTTATGCTAAATTTAAAACCCAATTATAATAAAAGAAAGACAGGAAATGAGATGCTGCATATTTCCTGAGACTGATGTTGCTTTCTACTCCTCTCCATGTTTGCTGCTGAACAAAGGAAGCTGCTGAGTCAGTAAAACAAGGCAGTTCACTTTCCATGAAAATGCTACTGGCATCCTGAAACTCTAAAGAAGTCTGTTGTTACTGAGAGTATCAAAGACAACACTGTCCTTCAGTGACTTCTCTCATTCAGGGAAATCCTACACCCTGTTAAAAGCACAGAATCTTGAGTGCAGGCTGCTTTCCATTTCCTTCTGTTCATCACAAAGACTCTCTCTTCTCCTAAGTGGAAATTTACAATGCTCCTGGATGAACAGGTGATAATAAATACATGTGAAGTCATGTGGAGCCTTGGGTATTTGCAGATTCTGTCACTATACCCTGGTTGAGGGAGGCTTCTCACAGAATACTCTCAGTATCTTCCTTTTTAAAAAAAAACTGTCAGGTCACACTCATAGCTGGCTGATTCAGGTGAGCTACTGGGAGAGTCACATAGGGATTGTTGTTCATTATAAGTATATACTTATTCAGACTTTCCCTCTTGCTCCCTCTGAAGTTTTTAGATTTATGATTTATATACTTCATCCCATGACTGATGATAACATTGTGAGCTTTTTTGTGCTTTAATGACGAGATTTCTTTGTTTTCAAAATCAGCTAAGGCCTGTCTCTAATTCTTGATGTTTTTCAGGCATCAACCATCCATGCATAGTTATCTGAACAGTATCTGATCTCACATATTCTCCATGCAGTGATTTCATCTGCATCTCCAATCACTGCTCTCAATCATGTGTATAGCATCATCACCATTAGCATGGCAAGAGATGGTACTTTTGATACTTATACATGCTTAAAGGTGACATTTATGACATATCCCTTAAAATCAGGCCCTATCACTTCAAAGAGATCCATCTCAGAATCCAGAGGACACTAATCCTTTATTATTATATTCCTTTATATCATTGCTCTAGATTCTGCTTTAGAACTGACAATGTCATTAGACATGCCATTTATTTCCCTAACTGACAATGTCATTAGACATGCCATTTCTTTCCCTAATAGTTCCAAACCCAGAGTCTCAAAAACTGGTTTTAAGCTCGTTCCTATGATGATCATGCAAAAGGGTATATTTATAAGGAGAAAAGGAATTGAAAACTGTTTCTTGAATATCTGTCAGTGAGGTAAGTGAAGACTCATTATATGAGTAGACTCTGGACTCAACAGAAAGCAGCAGAATCCTAATTCTTTCTGTATAAAGTTTCTTGAGAATCATGGAAAGAGACAAAGAGGATGAAGAGGTATTTGTGAAACCCTTCCCCACCTTCCTTTGGTGGTATTAGTAATTTGATGAGTCATGGTTTATATTATCTATGTTTAAGATGGTTATTCGTGGAACATCAGGTTGGACTTTCCCATAATTCCTCATAACCAAAATTCTACAGCTGGGTCTTCTGTTCCAGAAGGTGCAGCTTCTTGTAGAATGCCACCAGTCCATCTTTTTGAAAAATGTATGTGGCTTGTAGAATATGGTCTACAAAACCATGTAATTTTCTAGCTAACCTTATCTAGTTCCTTTATCCCAATGTTGCTTTGTTCAACAACATATGCATTTGGGGGGTTCGAGTCTGTTCCTGTGAGGTTCACAATGCAGAGCTTTCCTGGGTCTTCACTTGGCTGGCTATTGGCAACAGTCTCCACACTGGCGACTGGTCCATGTTGCACCTTTGTGCGGGAACCTAGAAATATCCTGGTAACATGCGAAAAGATGCTTCTTTTCTTTGTTATAAACCTGTGCACACACTTTCTCTCCTTTCCACCATCAATCCCCTATCCCATCCCCTTTCTGCTCCCCAGGGAGGGTGGGCCTTCCATGGGGGATCATAAAAGTGTGTCTGATCATTTGGAAAAGAAACTCCCCCATGTGTCCAGGCTGAGAGAGAATCCTTCTATATGGAATGGGATCCCAAAGTCCATGCACATAATAGGGATAAATACTGATCCACTACCAGAGGCCTCATAGATTACCCAGGCCTCCTAACTGACACCCACATTCAGGGGGTCTGTATTGGCCCAGTGCTGATTTCCCAGGCATCAGTCTGGGGTCCATGAGCTCCCCCTTGTTCTGTGAGTTTCTCCAGCCTGGTCTTGACTCTTTGCTCAATACTCCTCCCTATCTATTACTGGATTCCACGAGTTCAGCTAAGTTTTTAGTTGTGGGTGTTTGCTTCTGCTTCCATCAGCTACTGGATGAAGGCTCTATGATAGCATATAAGGTAGTCATCAATCCCATTATCAGGAAGGGCATTTAAGGTAGCCTCTCTTCTATTGCTGAGATTGTTTGTTGGAGTCATCCTTGTAGATCTCTGAACATTTCCCTAGGGCCAGATTTCTCTTTAAACCTATAATAGCTCCCTCTATTATGGTATCACTTTTATTGCTTTCATCTACTCTTCTCACAAGTGAATCTTTCTGCTCCCTCATGTCCTCTTCTCCCCTCCTATTCTCCCCTTCTCTTTTTCCTAATTCCCTCTTCCATCCCCCATGCTCTCAATTAGCTCAGCAGACCTTTTCCCTTTCCCCTTCTTCTGGAGGACCATGTATGTCTCTCTTAGGGTCCTCCTTGTTTCCTTGCTTCTCTGGCTGTGTGGATAGTAGGCTAGTATTCCATTGCCCTATGTCTAAATTCCATATATGAGTGAGGACATACCATGTTTTTCTTTTTGTGATTGGGTTACCTCACTCAGAATGGTTTCTTTTAGTTCCACCCATTTGCCTGCGAATTTCAAGATTCCATTGTTTTTTTTCCCTCACTGAGTAGTACTCAATTGTGTAAATGTATCAAAATTTCTTTATCAGTTCTTCACTTGTGGGGCATCTAGGTTGCTTCCAGCTTCTGGCTATTACAAATAGTGCTGCTATGAACATGGTTGAACAGATGACCTTGTTGTATGAATGTGCTTCTTTTGGGTATATGCCTAAGAGTAGAATTGCTGAATCTTGTGGTAGACTGATCCCCATTTTCCACAGAAAATGCCATACTGATTTCCAAAGTGGCTGTACTAGTTTGCAATCCCACCAGCAGTGGAGGAGTGTCTTTCTCTACATCCTCTACTGCATAAACTGTCATTGGTGTTTTTTATTTTGGCCATTCTGACAGGAATAAGATGGTATCTTAGAGCTTTTCTTTATTTGCATTTCCCTGATGACTAAGGATTTGAGCACTTTAAGTGTCTCTATTGAGAATTATCTATTTAGTTCTGTACCCCACTTTTAATTCAATTATTTGGTGTTTTGGTGACAAGCTTCTTGAGTTCTTTGTATATTTTTGAAATCAGCCCTCTGTCAGATGTGGGGATGGCAATATCTTTTCCCATTCTGTTGGCTGCCTTTGCTGATCTTGTTGCCTGTGTCCTTTTCCTTACAGAAGCTTCTCAGATTCAGGACGTCCCATTTATTAATTGTTGATCTCAGTGACTGTGCAACCTGTGTAATGTTCACAAAGCAGTCTAATGTACCAATTTTTTAAAGGGTACCTCCCACTTTCTCTTCTAAGTTATGTTGAGATCTTTGATCCATTTGTACTTAAGTTTGGTGTATGGTGATAGATATGGATGTATCTGCAGTCTTCTATACACCAGCTTCCAGTTATGCCAGGACAACTTGTTGAAGACGATGTCTATTTTCTATTGCATAACTTTAGTTTCTTTGTCAAAAACCAAGTGTTTGTAGGTGTGTGAGTCCATGTCAGTGTTTCAATTCTACTCCATTGTTCTACTTGTTTATATTTGTGTCAATACCAAGCTGTTTGCAGGACCCTACCTCTGTAATAGAGCTTGAAGTCAGAGATGCTGATGCCTCTGGAGGTTCCTTTATTGTACAGGTTTGTTTTGTCTATCAGGGGTCTTTTGTTTTTCCATATAAAGTTGATTACTGTTCTTTCATGGTCTGCAAAGAATTTTGCTAGGATTTTGATGGGGATTGCATTGAACCTGTAGATAGCTTTTGGAAAAATTGCCATTTTTACTGTGTTGATTATTCCTATCCAAGAGAACTGGAGATCTTTTCATTTTCTGGTATCTTCTTTAATTTCTTTCTTTAAAGACTCAAAATTCTTGATATATAGGTCTTTCACTTGTTTGATTAGCATTCCCCCAAGATAGTGTGTGTTGTCCGTGGCTAGTGTAAAGGGTAATGACTTTCTGATTTCTTTCTAAGCCCATTTACCATCTATATGGAGTAGGGCTACTGACTCTTTGGAGTTAATCTTGTATCCTGTCACTTTGCTGAATGTGTTTATCAGCTGTAGGAGTTCCCTTGTAGCATTTTTCAGGGCACTTGTGTAAACTATCATATCATCTGCAAACAGTGAAAGGTTGTCTTCTTCTTTTCCAATTTGTATCCCCTTGATCTCCTTTTGTTGTCTTATTGCTCTAACTGGAACTTCAAATACAATATGTCAAGAGACATGGAGAGAGTTGACAACCTTCTCTTGTTCCTGATTTTAGAGGAATCGAGTTGAGTTACTCTCAGTTTACTTTGATGGTGGCTGTTGGTTTGATGTATATTGCTTTTATTATGTTTAGG